TGGTACTTAGCTCATATGGTTAAATCTGAAGAACATGTCTGTCAAGTATATAATGTTAAGTGCTGTTGAGTCAGTTCTGACTCAGCATCCCTGTATAGCATTTCCGAGGTGTAACTAATGGGTTTGAATCACCAACCTTGTAGTTAGCAGTCCAGTGCTTGTCCTACAGCACCACACATAATGCACATTCAATAATCAATTATCAAATAGAGGAATGGGTATTAGGAACTTGCAGGAAGCCATACTTCTGGCCAATAGTTCCTGGGATGAGTTCCAAGGAGCCTGACTCAAAGCAAGTCCGTCCCATGGTTAAAACCACTTGGGGAATAGCAGACTTGTTAACTTACAAAGACTATTCACATAGTAAAGGCTCAAAACAGTCCCTCAAGAAAGAGATGTTATATTTTATTCAGTTCATTTCCCCCCTAAACTCATTTGACCATGGCGCCCTTTTTGTTTGGGCAGGATAGTAACCTCCCATAGAAAACATTTTGAGAATAGCCAAGTTGGAGGCTGAATCCATCTCAACCCAATGACTTTTGTTCCCAGATAAATGATGGAGCAGCCGAATCAGGAAAGATGGTTGGAGGAGGTAGAGGTCTGATGCCAGCACAGGATCTGAAATACACCCTCTCTCTTCCTCCCAAGATGTACCAATGGCAAACCTGGAAGAGATGCATGTGTGGAGGAAACCTGCCTCTAGCATGAATCTGAGCTAGTTTTATTTGCTAAAAGGTTAATGCCTGGGTCTTCTGTTAAAAATTTTAAATGAGAATCAATGAGCTGGTGAAATGGGGAGAAAAAGAAAACACTGCGAGTGAGAACCAAGCTCAGGCAGGATGAAGTCGGATACTCCTTCTCCTCCTGTTATGTATTAGTTTGGAATCAATGACCAGAAACAAAGTAGGAGTTAAGTTCTACTATGAGACAGGATGAAGTCAGGAATACTCCCTCCTATTGTGTCCTCTGGGGCAGAACTTCCTGGAATGCAAACGAGTTAACTAGGCTCAGCCCAGGACATACTGATGGTGCTTTCATTTTGTTCGAGCAGGTACCCAGAGTATCTTACATCTACACTTAGTGCTTAATAATTTCAGAAAAGATCCCTGATCCTGGACTAACTGCAAAGTAAACATTCCCATAGGAAGTTGGTCCTATCTTTCACACTGCAGATAGGGGCAGCTATTTGTGATTATTGTGGTCAGATGACAGGGTTTCTCAAATTGTGGTCCATAAACATCTGCACTAGTCACCCAGGAAGCATGTTAAAAACACACATTCCAGAGCCCAACCCAGCCCTGGCCAATTAGAATCTTCAATCAGACTAAGAACCACTGAGTGAGAGCTGTTTTACAGCGAGGGTGACCCCTCTGGTACAGGGCATTTGTTCTGTGTGTTTGTTGTTAAGTGCCACCTAGCCGGTTCCGACTCATAGGAAACGTTTAAAGGAGTGGCTGTTTCCGAAGAGTGGCTGGTGAGGTTGAACAGCTGATCTTGTAGTTCAAACCAACATAACCCACAGCACCACACCTTCTGATAAAGGGCCCAAAAGCCAAGTGGAAGACAAAAGGTCCCCTCTCCTCAATTAAATGAAATGAAGTCTCAGTGGAAATATGTTTGTTGTTGGGTGCTGACCCAGTTTTTGACTCATGGTGGGCCCTGGGTGACAAAGAACAGCCCCCACAGGGTGTTCTGGTAGCAGGTCGCTAGGTCTTTCTCCCATTCAACAGCTGGGTGGGTTCTAAGTGCCAACATTTTGGTTAGCAGCCAAGCACTTAGCTTCTGTGCCACTAGTCAGGATGAGGTAGACAGGAAGCTGGGCAGGACACTTTGAGAATGACTACTTATTGATTACTTTGTACCAGGTACTCTCCACGTAGCATCTCATTTTTTCCTCACAGCCATACTGCACGAATGTTATTAAGTACTGTCAAGTTGGTTCTGAGCTATAGTGATCCTGCAAGAATCGCTAATTCAAATTTCCATTTTACCACTGAGCGGAAAAAACCTCCAAGACACTCAGAGGCCAGTAGACTTTTTCTGGCCACAAGAGTTAGTAAGGGGATCAATCAACTTGTTCTAGTCAGTCAGTAAGGGGAAGGGTTAATGTCAGTCAGCAGAGCCCACACCCTTTCTGTGGTACCAGAGGACTGCCCTAGAACTCTCTTTGGAAGACAAAGCACCAGAGCCCTCCTAAGGGAGGGGCAGGGAAGCACAGTGGGTGCCACTAACTCTCAGATACACATCAATATGCAAGGTGACTTTGTTCATCTGTCCACTTACAGGCATGATTCTGTTACTTTGGTCCTACCTGTCCCTCAGTAACCCAACCCAAGGCCTCTGTCACTGTGCTGCCTTCTGAAACACCAATTATAAATGTACATTTAAGTCTAGAAAAGCCAAGCAAAACATGACCTAACTCATTAAATCTGCTGCTCTCCCTCTTCCTCCTTTCTGCCTTTGAATCTAATCATCCTGATGGATTGGGCAGTGGTGACTTGGGTCTTCTCAGTGGGACAGATTTCCACACTCCTCCCTCACTCTACCACCCTTGTTATGGAAAGGTTCAAGCCCCACTGGCCTCTGTGTCACTGGCAGGCTGGAGCCACTGTGCCTTCCCAGCACGACATTTCAGGGGATGCATGCTGGCTGAGTGCCAAGATGACCCCTACCACCTACTGCTGTAACTAACCCCCAAAAAAGGAACTAGATTAGCTGGAACCCACCAGTAGCACATTCCTCTGATTTCACCGGCCTCAGCAGCAAGTGGTGGGGAGTTATCTGGCAGAGCACAGCTGATAGGCCCTATGTAGAGATGTCACATGGTACTTTAATGGAGGATTAATGCAGAGAATTTGAGGTCAAGAGTTTAGGATGAACCTGTTTCTATTTATAAAAAAGAGCCTCCAGGGGGGACCAGAATCTTGGTAGAAGCTTGGTTAGGCCTGGGTGTTGGTCTCTCTTTACCTACAATTACATCACTTCCTTTAAAACTACATCCTTCTCCATGGGCTTTCCCCATTAATATTAAGTCCCTTTGTCTGAGAAAGAATTATGCATAAGACAACAAAGCAAATGTGTGAGTCAACCCATGGAGTCTGGGGTTAACCCCTGCAGCTAACTCAACTGTCCCTGTTTGATGGCTGAGGGAGGTAAGGTAGAGCCAGGCAACAGGCCATCAATTCTTCAAGGACTGAAAAGGGGATAGATTAACCGTAAACCTTTGAAATCTTCAACTCTTTAAAACCAGTAGCCCCCCTAAAGGGAAAGACAAGTGCAAACAGACCCCAACCCTACTCTCACAGACCACAAAGACAGCAGGATGACAGCTGGCCACACACACATGGATACAATTCCAATTCTTAGCTCTGCCTACAGCTAGTTCAGGGAGAGGCTGCTGGGACCCAAGAGTGTTCACCTAGGAGACTTCTCCTTATGTGTTTAAGATACCAATGGAGAAAAATTCAGTTGGGGGTGGGGTGTCTACTATTAATTTTGGTTTTACTGAGTAAGAATCTCCAGAGTGTGGCCTGTGAATTTGCACTTTACAAAAGGCCTACTAGTTGAGTCTGAGTTCCAGCCAGAATGACACCCACCTCAGATCAGGCTGTGCTGCAGAGGAAACCCCACTCTGGTCTGCCTTCCTCCAAGAAGTCAACAGAACCGAGAAGGTTAAACTGGTTTTAGCATGACAAGCTAATATCACACATAAAATTTTTTTATTTAAAACATTTTAAAATACAACTTTCCAATATGCAAAACTCTTAAACTGCCCCCTTTGCAAGCCCCACTCCTACCTCTGCTATTGACCCAATCATACTTCCATATTATGGGCCTGAAAGAAACTCTTACCCCAACCTTTGAGGAAGGACAGCCCTGTTTGTCAGCAACTTTCTAGGATATCAAAGGCCTCAGAAAAAAAAAAGAAAAAAAAAAAAAAAGCCCAAGCCTGAAAGATATTGCTTTACAGGGAAATAAACACTTAACAAAACTGAAATTATACTCTACTGGCCATGCTAGCACAAGCACTGTTGTCAAATCCAGCAGTCTGGCTAGTGGTATCTGGAGATAGCAGTGCCTTCTCAACTCTTGTCTCCCCCAAAAGGTTATCTGTACTGTAGTTAAGAGAGTGTCACCGTCACATCCTGGAAATAAAGCTGCCTTCTCAGTCAACTGTCCATCTCCTCTCCAGGGCAGAAGACAGCAGCTGTAGGACAAACAGAGCCCAAAAGCCAAATGGAGGACAACGAGGGTGTTCAAAGGCAGCACACATATTCATCACAGCTCAGCTGAGGCCTCTCCAAGAGGAGGAGATGGAAACCCTCATACTGGCCTGTTTTCCATGCTTGTCTTACAGTACTGAATGGGGTGCCATTACCACCTCGGAAATTCAACTGATGCTGCTCTTGTCCGAGTTCTGATGCCTCTAGCCAATCAAAGAGTTGGCATGTGAGGGACCTGACACACCACAGTATAAAGGACATGCTGAGAAGGTGCCACGAGAAGGTGCCAAGCTGTGGCCTCACTAGCCCCCCTCTAGAGGAGCTCCAAGTCTGAGCATGGTCAGGGAGGATTCCCCGGGAGAAGGCCTTGTCCAATCCCTTTGTTTGTCAAGATACTGTGCTGGTTACTTTTGATGTCATCCTTAAAGACATACATTGCTGGTGGAAAGAAGGCTGCATAGGTTTCTCAAAGCCACAGTAAGGGGAAAACCTTCTTGGATGTAATGTGAGAAAACCCAACTATCTTGTGTCAAAACAGACCAGAATAGTTTAATAGAAAGAAAACAGACAAATAAACAACTGAAAACAAAACAGACAAGCAATCCAGCATGTTAGATTTTTTGGTTTCTGTTGTTTCTGCGTGTGTGTGTGTGTGTGTGTGTGTGTGTGCTCTAAGGGAGAAGGTCCAGTTTATAAGCCTGCTTCAGGATTTCTCTGTGGGATGAGTGGAGAATGCAGCCAGTCATTGGTAGGAACTGAAAGGATGAAGACACCCACTCAACTTCTCCAGCCACCAAAGCCTTGAACAGACCTGCAAGGAAGCACAGGAGAGAGTGACGAAACCAGTGGTCGCTGCTTACTGTGGAAGGACTCTGGGGCTTGTGCAACTAACTGATTTGTGTTTAATGTTCAGACTGTGAATGCTTAAATGCTGCTGTAATTCTACACAGAAGCACTGCGTGAGGATCAAAACGAACTAAGGTTTGGTGATGGCCTAGAGCCCAGTGGTCAGCAGGAAGCTCCTGAGACACTAACATAGAAAGCAGGAGAAACACCTCTTAGGCTCTGCCTACTAGCTTTTTGCTCTTGGGAAGGCACATTCTTCTCTCTTGTTTATCTACTGTCCTTGAGAAGGCCAAGACTGGCTGTCTACTGCCTTATTTCTCTAAGATATTAGCAAATCCACAACAACAGAGGTCAAACCCAAACACTGACACTGAAAGCTCTTCCTTTCAGGACAGGCTTTTGAAGCAGAGCAGAGAAATGGATATGAAACGCACAATTTCAGCAAAAATTAATATTCCAATAGTTTTCTTTTCACATACCACACACGTTTCCATCTTATTTAATGCTTATAATGAAAGTCAGACTCAAAGCTGAGGACAGATACTTACGAGTTAGATGATCCAAAGCTGAATCCTGAAAACAGATGAAAAGGGCAATGTTAACAGAGACATATTCTTGAGAGACATATGTAGATTTTAGGCTAAGTTCTTCCCTCTCTTATTTCTTAGGGAAAAGCTCTGCCATCCACACCCATCTGCTGAATGGGCAGGAAGGAGCCCACAGAGGTGGCTCTATTCTCTCCAAAGGTGATCACATCTATCAGGGGAAAGCAGGGAAATCCTTTACTGTCTAAGCATTGTTTGGGTATTTCAGGGGTCTGGTCCCCCTCCCTGGTTGTAGCACAGTCTCTCTCACTTAGAGGCACAGTACAACATCTCAGCAAGAAAATTTGCCGTTTTCCCTATTTTTTTTTTTCCCATTCACTTATTTTTCTTTTTGAGGATATTCAAGACACTTGGGTTCTAGGTTGGGTCTGCTGCTGTGTAACTCAGAGCAAACTGTGCGACCCCTTGCAGCTTTTGCTTCTTTACTTGTAAAATAATGACGCCTAACTATATATCCCACAATTTGTTAAGTGATAAAAACAGAACACATATTCAGCTAGCTCAAGCAGCAGTGTGAACAAATGCAAGGCATTTAATGAAGTTTCTATATCCCATTTTGAGCCTGTTGGCTTGGACTTTTAAACCAAGGGTATTTAGGATCTCAAACCTTGACAGAAAAATCAAGTCACTCATTTCTTTATTTGGCAGCACATGATACAATGTTACAAATCTAATTAAAACCTAAAAAATATCATTTCATTTGTAAATGACTCTCAGCTTTAAAAATAATCTGAACTTTGTTGTTTTTAAGTGCTGTTAAGTCGGCTCTGACCCACAGTGGCCCTGTATTGGGTTTCCAAGGAGCAGTTGGTGAGCTTGAACCGCCTACCATGTGGTTTAAATGACTTTGCAGTCCAACGCATTAACCCACAGCACTACACCAGGACTACAAAATAAAATGAATAGGCAGGGTAAAAAATTAAAAAACAAACCAACCCCAAACACATTTCTTTGGAGGAAAAGGCCAATCATTTGAGTGTTCATATCAGAGGGAAAAAAGTAGGTAAGGTTTGTGAAGGAAGAATAGCTGTTTACCTCCTGCACCGGAACCAAAACCAGTGAATCCAGTGCTCTGTGTCCCAAAACCAGTAGTCTGTTGAGAGAGTGATCCAAATGTAGGAGCGTTTTGACTTGCGAGTGTGCCAAAAGACGTGGTATTGCTGCTGCTCCCAAACCTAGATTCCAGTAAGAAATAAGATTGTGGTGAGGGGGCTGCACTGTTACATGGCCACCAGAACACCTCAGGCCACACTCTTAACTCAGGTGGGATGACATACATGATTTGAGGTGATGAGATTTAAACAGGCAGCCTCTCAGAAAGAATAGGTTATACTATTAGAGCTTAACTTTATCTCAACTTTGGGAAGAAAAAATAACAAAAAGACAGTATAAAACCCAATCTGCCCAATACTTGAGTTGTTGTCTACAGTCTGGGAATTCCATGTCATCTGGAAATGAAGCAGCACCACTGATCTCACTCTTCCTATCACCAACAACTCTTCAATTCGATTCATTGTATTTTAGCATTTCTCACTTATCTATAATTCCCCTCTTCCTTCTCCTCATTATCTCCAGCTCTTCTCTGGGGAGGTAAAGTTTCTTTTATATGTAAAGACCAGCATGTGCCTGTACTTACTGTATTTTTGCCCAGTTAAAGCCCTGTCTATTCCTATTCCTACCTTAGTTCTCTCTCCCCTAAACAATAATAGCACAGACTTTTCAGACGGCCTGCCAGTGTGTCAGGGAAGTCCATTGGCACTGAGCTCTTCTGGAGATTTAATACCAGAACAGGTACTTGTTAACTCTGTTCTACAAAGTAGAAATAACCAGCCAGTCAGGCAGGATTCATAGAGGAGAGCCACCTTAAGGCAGAGATGGTACTTTTCAATGAGCAAAGAAAATAACTGGTTTCCAATCAATAAACAAAACCTCAAAATTTCCAGTCAAGCCCAAATCACCATTTATGCAGTAACATGTGCTAAGCAGTTACTGCAGAAATCAGAGTCCATCCAAAGTCTGCCACAAACACTAGTTTAAGTCTGTTACTAAGTCTCCTTTAAAAGCTCTCTTTAACTTTAATTACTGAGGTTTCCTGAGGGAAGACTTAAAAAACCCATTAGTATTTCCATAAAATCTCAGATACCATATATAAATGTGCTCGTGTCCCTGGAAACTCAGACAGTTTGCAGCAGTACCTCAGAGGTTGTTGCTGGGAGTCACTGAGTTGATTCTGACTCATACAGACCCGGGTGACAGAAGAGAGATGGGCTCAGATGGTTTTTCTTGGCTGTATTCTTTAAGGAAGGGAGTCCTGGTAGCACAGGGGTTAAAGAAGTAGACTGCTAACCAAAGAGCCAGCAGTTCCAACCCACTAGCCACTCAGTGGGAGAGCACTGTGGCAGTCTGCTTCTGTCAATTACAGCCTTGAAAGCCATGTGGAGCAATTCTACTCTGTTCTGCAGGATTGCGGAGCTGGAACTCACTGGACAACAATGGGTCTGGATTTTGGTAATTTTTATGGAAGGACACTGCCTGGTCTTGCTCATATGGCGTGACTAGGTGGATCAGAATCGCTAACCTTTGGGTTAGCAACTGATGGGAAAGGGAATGAATAAGAGGTTGGGGCATAAATGGTGCCAGGCCTAGAGGCAGGGTAGAATGAGGGGTGACTGTTAGTGGGTACACGGTCTCTTTTTGGAGTATTAAAAATGTTCTGAAATTAGACAATGATAATGGTTACACAACTCTGTGAACACACTAAAAACTAGTGAATTATACAAAGGATGAATTTTATGGCATGTAAATTACATCTCAATGCTAAAAAATGAAAAATTTTTAAAAGAGAGGTTGGAATAGGTAAATTTCCCCTTTGTCAAAAACTGCCACTGGATTAACTGCCCCTTCCCCTCTTTTGCAACAGAGAACAACAACAGAGGCAGTGGAAGGTAAAGGGAGAAGACCACAACTGCTCAATCTGTCATACCTTGTTGTGGCGAAAGAACCCAGTTCAAACCAGTTGTGAAAATGGATTCAATAAGTGACACGGAGTTTTTGGTCAAAGAACCTAACTTTTTTTTTTTTAATGCGCTTTTATTGTGAACTGAGTGATAGTTTACATGGGAGAACATTGGCTTTACACCATCGTTTCATTGCAATGATTACAATCTCCTCTGTGCACCAAAAGAATCTAACTTTTAAACTTAAAGGTTATTATCTCTGCTGAACATGTACATAAGAGTTGAGGTAAGAAGGTTTCAGTTTCATTTCAGAATGTGTTGGGGGGAAGGCAGAATCCCCACTAATAGTTTTCATCTTGTCTAGACGGGTCTGTTGAAAGGAGATGGGGATAAGATTCTTAGGATTCAATAGTGAGTAACTGTTATTATGATTAATTGCAATTGTTACAACTGTAAAGGTAGAAGTTTTGTAACAAAAAGAGGGGAGTAGTTAATTTTACAGTCCAGGAACAGAGGACCCTAGGACCATCAAGGGAGAAGAGCATGAGTGGAATGTGGGACTCTGGTGTGGTGCTGTGGATTAATGCACCAGACTGCAAAGCCGTTTGAACTGCTGCAAGGTTGGTGGTTCAAGCTTACCAGCTGCTCCTCGAAACCCTATACATGGTTGCTATGGGTTGGAACCGACTCGATGGCACTTAATAACAACAACAACAGCATGCAGAGAAGCAGTGACACCAGAGATGGAGGGGACATGGAGGGAGAGAACAGCTCATGGCAAGAGAAAGGCTGTATGCTGGTGGTCAGGAGGCAGGTTTACAGAATGCGCCTTTTGGTTGTTTAAATGATTATATATTCCTGAGTATTTTTGTGTATATCTCCCCCTCAAAATAACAACAGAGGGAATAGAAGCAAATACTGTTGAATGATGATGCACGATGGAGATTGTTATCATTGCAATGAAACGATGAGTATAAAACCAATGTTCTTCCATGTAAAGTATCACTCAATTCACAATAAAAAACAAAACAAAAAAAACTCAGAAGGTTTCAGAGCTGCGGTAATTTTTGTTCTGAATGCAAACTTTTGGATTCAGGGCACTCTTGTTTCTGAAGTCCACTTCAGGGGTTCTTCATGGCTAACTAGGATGGGTGAGGATGGAAACAGACCTGACCTTGGACATTTACAGAATGTGCTTCAGTTTGGTTTCAAGATAAAAGACCATCTTGCTAAACTTATGTCAAGTATCTTTATAATTCCCCCTAACAAAATCATCCCTACTCCCCAACTCTTCCTCTAGATTTACCCTTTTTGAGTTCAGTTCCCAGAGTGAGGCATATTAGAGCCACTTTCAGGCATAAATACCTCCCTTGAATGAGAAGCTATTTGTAGTCATCCTCACATATATTTTATTGGGACTTTTTGGTGTGGTAAAAGGCAATTTTCTCCCTAGGGTTTTGGCAATCAGAAGGAATTTCTAGGGCTCTTAAAAACAAATCTCTACTAAGGCATGGGGCAAAAAGAACAGTTTTGAAAACTGAACAATGATGAAAATTCTTCAGTGTGCTGAGGGTTTGGGTTGGTGACTAGTCTAGCTATGAAACTGAATGCCCACTTTGGGGTTTGAATGGAGAAGGAGTTGTTTGCTCAAGGGCAATCGGTCTATGCAGAACAATCCTAGGAGGAAAGAAGCTGGTGAAAACTACTCATTTAGAACTTCATCAACAGAAGGGGAACACAAGGGGAAATTCTGGCTATAAAGTAGCCAACCAAACCCAACTCACTGCTGTTGAGTTAATTCCAACTCATAGTGACCCTACAGGACAAAGCAGAACTAACTATTCCCATAGGGTTTCTAACGCTGTAAATCTTTATGGGAATGGAATGACACATCTTTCTCCTGTGGCGTGGCTGGTGGGTTCAAACCACCAACCTTTTGGTTGGCAGTTGAGTTCTTTAACCACTGTGTTACCAAGGTTCCTTATAAAGTAGCCAACACAAGATTGTTTATCTGCTTTTGACCAGTATCACCAGGAGAAGGAGTTCTGATAACTTTACCCTATAGGTTAGGGGATAGCAGGATTCTGATGTCCATCCACACATTCCACAGAGCCTGGCTTGACAAAATGAGAGACGAGGAATCCTGTAGCAACTGGAGGGCCAGTGTTCAGCTCACAATGGGACAAATTTAAAAGCTTCCTTTTTTAAAACAAGAGCAGTGGGCCCCAGTTCTTTTAGCTAACATAAGCCTTTGGTGCCCCCAGGATCTCCACAAAGGGGCTTACCCGAATCCTCCTGCGCTGGCAGCCGCTGTACCCTCTCCGAACACTTTGCCTCCCGTCGAGCCCAGAGGGCTTGTAAAGGCTGGGGCTGAACCGAATGCTGGCACCCCTCCAAAACCAGGGGATCCCCCAAAAGTAGGAGGGCTGCCAAACACTGGAGCAGCACCGAAGCCACCTGAGCAAAACAGAGGCAAACAAACAAAAATGGGGAAAAAGAAAAAAAGGAGATAGGAAGAAAAGACATTGAGTGATGAGAAACCAAATCAAAAGAGGGAGGAAAAAGGGAAAATATGTTAGAAATTCAAATACAAAGAATAATAGCAAAACACAACACCCTTCTATCAGTAAAATAATAAAACCCATAAGAACCAGAAAACCAAACCACACCTTCCCTGCACCCCAATTCTAACAGAGGGATCTAGAGTTCACTCAGGAGAATTCCTTAGAAATCTAGCATGTCCCTGCATGTGTCTCAGAGGTCCACAATCCCTTTTGGAGGTGAGCTGGATGTCACTAGTTTAAATAGTCGTGGGAAACCACATTACACCACCAAGAACCAACCTGGTGGATTTCATATCCTTCTCAGCAACTCTGAGCAGTCTGAAATTCTTCATTGAAAAAAAATCATTCTCAAGAACTCCAATCCCAGCCCAGATTTTATTACTTACGAATATATATAAGTAATCAACATATGAAAGAAATCTAATTGCATGCAAAGCCAAGTTATATAAAAGAGAGGCTACAACCCCCCATTCTCCGGGAGAATCGTGACTCAGGTTACAGCAGAAATGAAGAGATGCACAGCACCGGCACATAGCCAGGGTGCTCTTTATTTATTTAAAGCCTAATGGCTCTCACATCTCTCACCAGTCTTTCTTTCTCTCTCTCTCTTTCTATACATAATAATAATAATAACAGTAAGCTTTCTTTCTGTAGTCAGGAACTTCTTCTCTATATAAAGCACAACATTGAATTTCTTCTTTGGAGGGAGGCTGCTTGCTATGTAACTCTGAAATATGAAGTCCACTGTGAGCATAGCTGCTAGAGTTATGAGCCATCTTTTGCAAACTCCTGGCACTGAAGCTCACTGAAGGCTGGCCAAGGGCAGAACACGCTCAGGTGATCACACAGAACAGAGGCAGGTCATGCAGGGGAGCAGCCACCTCTGACTGGAGAGATGCCCAGCAGGTGAGAAGATGAATGTACTGTCCTTAGCGCTTCCTTCCACTCTTCTAAGATCCCACTGCTTAAATCACTTAAGGTCTCAGAAGAGGCACTCAGTTAAGTGCCGGCTAAACTGACTGGATTAAAATTCTACAAAAAAAATGTGCTTTAGAGGGGACCACTCTTGACAGGAAGCACAGTACTCCTTAAAATGAGTAGTGGTTGATGAGCTACATGCTAAAGCTATTAACAACCAAGTAGATGACGAGCCCTTTTCAGAAAGGAAGTCTAATTAATTGCTAGCGGGATGAATCAGGCTAGTTTATTATAGCCTTAATCACACCACAAGCTCTGCTCCTTGGACCAGGCAAGATCAAATACCACATATGAAAAGCTATCAGCTGAATACTTCAGATTCATCATGATTCTATGAACCAATTATTTGCTTATTTATCATTAATAGTGGTTGTACAACTGAGAAAATACTTTTTTGTTAAGCTCATGTTTGGGTACACACTCTGCATTTTAAAACTCTGATAGAATTCAAGCCATGATAGTGGAAACTGTTGGGTTACAAATACAACAGACTGGAAAAAAAAAAAAGTGCTAAAAAACTCTTATCGTTGAATTATTTAAGACTGATCATAGATCTAGTTACACTTTCTTCCTAGACACACAGGCCTTTATCTAGTGCCTTGTACTCAATATTGTTGAGACTTCTCAGTGGAAGGTGAGTGAGTGAAAAATGAGACATCACAATGAAACAGAAAGAAAAGTGGACAGTGGAGGAAAGAGATTAATAATACACACACACACACACACACACACAGAAACTACCCCCAAACAACAACAAACCTGGGACACAGCCAAATGGACGAGGAAGTGAATGGTCACTTAGCTCTTATTTTTGGGAGTTAGCCAACTTACTTCTGATAGTAAGAGGGATCAGGTTTTATTAGGTGTCATATTTTCATGATTTTCTTCTTTAGAAGAAGCAAATTTAGCAGTAACTGACAGTAATAAAGTGCTAATTCACTGAGCCTGCTCTGTGCCATGCATGATGCCAAGTGCTTTACAACAGTTCTCTTTATTCCCCACTTAACAGATGAGCAAACTGAGACTAGCAGAATGCCACTTCCCCAAAATAAGCCAGTTGGTAAGTGACAGACAGAGCTGGGATTGGTACAAGAGCTTAGTAACTCAAAAGTCCATCTATCATTTAATCATTAGCATTACACTGCCCCCTCAACTGCCACTATATCTAAGTCATTCTAATAGTTTCGTAATAGGGTGGTAATAGTAAGCCCACTAGACCAGGGATGAAAGGAATGCCATTTCCAGCCCATATTCCCTTCTCTCCTCAAAAATCTCCATCAGTATTATTTTCTAATGTAATTTTTTTGAAGGAAAGATGGACAAATCATCAACCTAAGAAACATTCTTAAAGTCAGAAGTCCTGATGCCTGACGCATTTGTAGGGGTAAGATTAATTCCTTGATTTAAACTAGCCTTTCCTTACTCTGAGATACTCTTCTGCAGATGGAGCTCTTTAGGACACTAATATACACACACACACACCAAGCAACAGACACATAAGCAGAGTACCCCCCACTTGTACTTTCTGGGTTTATAGTTCACTCATCCCCTACATTTCCAAGGCATTTTACTTTCTCTATTATAGTCATTAATCCAGTTTCATGGGTCAAATAATCAAACAAGAAAAATGTTCTAAAAAGTAGTGGTTGTTGTTAAGTATTATGGTGTTGGTTCTGACTCATAGTGACCCTGCAGAGGGTTTCCGAGGCTGTAAATCTTTACAGGAGCAGAAAGCCTCATCTTTCTCCCGTGGAACAGCTGGTAGTTTCGAACTGCCAACCTTGGTGTTAGCAGCCCGATTCATAACCACTACGCTACCAGAGCTCCTAAGGACAAACAGATTTTCTATTGTACAGAAAAAAATAAAAGGGTCAGATTCTCAAGTCAGTTGGGACTAGATTCCAGGTAAAAAAGCCACATATAAGAAAAACAGAAAGTCAAAACATTATCAGATTACTTAATAAAAAATTTGATCATGAAAGAACTAAAACTTCTCAGTCAAAAGTTCAAAATTGTCTTGTTAATAATTAGGGCTAAAGTTTTGTGGCTCCATTGTTTAAAAATCATCCACTGGGAGAGAGGTATGGCCAAAATGAACAAAGTTGCAATGCTCATTTCTAGTCCATTTTAAATTCTAGGAAGATTATAAAAAACTGACAACTAAGGACTGACCTGCCCAAATGACAAGTCTAAATTCCCATATACAGTGTATTTGGAAACCACAGCAGTTTAGACTATGAATTTTAATTATTCCAGTCACTAATCTGTGGTAGCCTTGCTCCTAAGCAAGAGCTACCTATGCATCTGTTAGGATCATTCCTCTGGAGTTAGCATGATTTCAAAGTATCCCATTAAGTTGTTTTAAAGGGTCCCCAAGTATCAGTTGGTAAGTTTGTCCTCAGCAAACATTCTCCCTCTCTGCCTTTCTATCCAAACATTCTCCCTCTCTGCCTTTCTATCAAAATCTTTACACATATTTTTTTATACAACAAGATAAAGAACACACACACTTCTCTAGATATTAGAGACAGAAATTGGACAGAAAGGTACCTGATAAAACTGTTTTCTTATCTAAACATACCCTGTTCTTTTTTAAAAAAAAAAACTTTAAATTATAAATGCAGTATATGACTATAAAAATGCAGAGTTCACAAATTTACAATTTAAAATTAGTGCTAGGCTAAAAAAGTAGTGATGGTTTTGTTTCTTGGTCATATGGTGTGAAAATTAACTGAGCTATATATTTATGGCATATGGTTATTGTATGTTGCTGTTGTCAAGTGTTGTTGAGTCAGCTCTGACTCATAGTGACCCTCTACACACACAACAGAATGAAACACTGCCCCGTCCTGCACCATCCTCACAATTATTGCTATGCTTGAGCCCACTGCTGCTGCCACTGTGCCAATCCATCTTGTTGGGGGCCATCCTCTTTTTCTTTGACCCTCCACTTTACCAAGCATAATGTTCTTTCTAGGGACTTGTCCCTCCTGGTAATATGAGACACGAAGTCTCACCATCCTGGCTTCTAAGGAGCATTCTGGCTGTACGTCTTTTAATACAGATTTGTTTGTTCTTCTGGCAGTCCATGGTACTTTCAATATTTTCCAGCACCATAACTCAAATGCATGAATTCTTTTATTGCCTTCCTTATTCATTGTCCAACTTCCACATGCATATGAGGCTATTGAAAATACCGTAACTTAGGTCAGGTGCACCTTAGTCCTCAAACTCACATTTCTGTGCTTGAACACTTTAAAGAGGTCTTTAGGTAACAGATTTGCGTAAAGCAACATGTTGTTCAATTTCCTGACTGCTGTTTCCAAGAACACTGATCGTAGATTCAAGAAAATTGGGGTCTTTGACAATTTCAATCTTTTGTCCATTTACCAAGATGTTATTTATTGGTCTAGTGGTGAAGATTTCTGTTTTCTTTTCATAGTGAAAGATATGGTCTTAGATCTTCATCAGTAAGCATTTTAAGTCCTCTTCACTTTCAGAAAGCAAGGCTGTATCATCTGCATATCACAGGTTTCTAATGAGCCTTCCTCCAATCTTGATACCACACTCTTCTTTATATAATCCAGCTTCTCAGGTTATTTGCTCATCATACACACTGAATTAATTTGGTGAAATAATATAGCCCTGGCACACACCTTTCCTGATGTTAAACCATTCAGTATTTTCTTGTTCTGTTCAGTCGTTCCAACAGAACAAGAGGATATTGAATGTATACATATATATGTACACTTCAATTAAAAGTAAATTATTTACACATAAGAAATGAAACATAGTCTGTCTTAACCATCATCTGTGACTCAGGGTGCTTTCTGGTTTATATTTTAGTTATGTTCCCTTACTTTGGTTGTTTTGTTATTGTTAAGTATTTGCAATGTTTCCTTCCCTAAGAAGATTCTAGGTAATTCTGTGGGTTTTATTACATGCATTCTGTGTATTTTTAACATATCTCAGAAGGTGCAGTGTTAGGAACACAGTAAATGCTCAGTAAATACTCAAATAAATTGAGGGAGAAAAGTAGCTTCATCCAAACGCTAATCCTGCTCTCTTGAGATACCCACCCTAGAGATATTACTTTCCAGATATCTATGCACATATAAATATCAACATTACCATAACTAATATGCATAGGAGTACCTGTTTTATTTGGAGTAGAAAACCCGAAGCCTTGGGATGCCACACTTCCTCCTCCAGAGCTAAAAGTGCCAGCTGGTTTCTGCTCTCCAAATGATGAACTGGCAAATCCACCAAATGTCTTGGCTCCACTGTTTCCAAATAGGTTAGACGCATCTGAAGAGATGAAGAACGTATGTGAGGGAAACGTGAAGATGGGGAAATGTCCTTATTTACTACTCAGAAAAAAAAAACAAACCTGCAGTTGAGTGTCTGGGGAGAAAGGAGTTACTAAGAAGCCTAGGATCCTAGGAAGCTGAGCTCCTGAGCAACAGGTACCCTTTCTGACTTTCGTGCATCTTGATTACAAGTTTTTACTCATTCTGACTCCCAGGCTCAGGATTTCCTGACATGATACTATAGACACAAAACAAAGGGGCAATGTGAGTCCTGGTGTGGCGCTGTAAGTTAATGCGCTGGATTTGCAAAGTTGGTTTGAATCCCAATGGCAGCGGTTCATGCTTACCAGTCACTCCTGGGAAACTTCATACAGGATCGCTAGGGGTCAAAACCAACTTGACTGCATTTAACAACAACAACAATGAGACAATAAAGAGTCCTAGTGTGGTGCTGTAGGATCAGCACTGGACTGCGAGGTCAGAATTGCAAGGTCGGTTCAAACTCACCAGTTGCTCCTCAGAAACCCATACAACAGGGTTGCTACAAGTCGGAACTGTCCTGACAGCATTTAACAACGAGACATTAAAAGCACGGAGTCCTGGTGTGGTACTGTGGGATAAGCACTGAACTGCTAACTACAAGGTTGGTAGTTCACACCCACCAGAAAACATATAAAGGAGGGTTTATGAATCCAAACTGACTCAACAGCACTTAACAAAAACAAACACATATGAATCAAAGAATCTTTTTAGAGGCTCATCTGTGAGCCCACAACGCTATCAGGCCTATCCTGCAACAGAAGAGCACTACGTGAACTTTACATGAGACTGGTTTGTGTGGAACAACAGAGCTTGCTTTCACTGGTTTTCTTACATGAAGACCCACTTCCATTTTTGTCAAGCTAGGGAAAATGAAGCTAGAGTAAACCCAAACTGCACATAATAGCTCCAAGTATTTGCAACTAAGGTTGTCACCCTTGCTATTGTTCATCAGTTTAGAGGATGGTGGGGAAACAGCCTCTACTTATGATCGAATGGGAATTAGGAAAGTTCTGGATTGAGTCAGTTCTGACTCAGCGAAGGATACACTAAGGTGCTTTAAAAAATTTGCACAAAAACGGAATGGAAAGATAATGGAATTTTTCCATGAACTTTTTGTAAGAGGCCTGCAAAACTTCCAGTCTGATTGGAAGAGATCCATATTTGTGCCCATTCCAAAGAGAGGTGACCCAACGAAATGTGGAAATCATCAGACAATCTCTTTGATATCTCAAGCAAGTAAAGTTTTGCTCAAGGTAATACAGAACGGCTACAATCATACATTGACAGAGAACTTCCAGAGGTGCAAGCTGGATTCAGAAGAGGCCGTGGAACGAGATATCATTGCAGATGTCAGATGGATTTGGCTGAAAGCAGAGAATATCAGAAGGATGTTTACCTATGCTTTATTGACTACGCGAAGGCTTTCGATTGTGTGGATCATGACAAGCTATGGACAACATTGAGAAGTATGAGTATTCCAGAACACTTAATTGTACTTCTGAGAAATCTGTACCTGGACCAAGAGGCAGTTGTTCGAACAGAGCATGGGAATACTGAATGTTTTAAAATTGGGAAAGGTATGCGACAGTGCGACAGGGTTGTGTTCTTTCACCATTCTTGTTCAATATGTATGCTGAGCAAATAATATGAGAAGCTGGGTTCTATGAAGGAAAACGTGGCATCAGGATTGGAGGAAGACTTATTAACAACCTGAGATATGCAGATGATACAACCTTGCTTGCTGAAAGTGAAGAGGACTTAAAATATTTACTGATGAAGATCAAAGAGCACAGCCTTACATATGGATTACAACTCAATGTAAAGAAAACAAAAATCCTCACCACTGGACCAATAAACTGCATTCTTATCAATGGAGAAGAGATTGAGGTTGTCAAGGACTTCATTCTTCTTGGATCAACTATCAACACTTGCGGAAGCAGCAGTCAAGAGATCAGACGACGTATTGCATTGGGCAAATCTGCTGCACAGGAACTTTTTTTAAAGTATTGAAGAGCAGAGATGTCAGCTTGAGGACTAAGGTGCACCTGACCTAAGCCATGGTATTTTCAATAACCTCATATGGATGCGAAAGCTGGATGGTGAATAAGGAAGATCGTAGAAGAATTGATGCCTTTGAATTGTGGTGTTGGAGGAGAATACTGAAAGTGCCATGGACTGCCAAAAGAACAAATAGATCTGTTTTGGAAGACGTGCAACCAGAGTGCTCCTTGGAGGCCAAGATGGCTAGGCTTCGTCTCTCATACTTTGGACACATTGTCCGGAGGAAACAGTCGCTGGAGAAGGATGCCATGCTAGCTAAGGTGGAGGGTCAGAGAAAAAGAGGAAGACCCCAACGAGATGGATCAGCCAGGTGACATCATTGATAGCGTCAAGTGTGGCAGCGGTAGTGAGGTTGGCCCAGGATCGGACATTGTTTCGTTCTGCTGTGCATGGGGTCACTATGAGTCGGTTCCGACTCGATGGCACCTGACAACAACAACAACAACCTTCTAGATGCGTATCTACTAAGTCACTCCCTTCAACTACTCACTGAATCAGCTCTAAGAACTAAAGAACAAAATGGAAACTAACTCCTAAAACCCAACATGAATAAAAAGGTTTTGTCTATTACAGGAAATGTAAACCTGGTAAGCAATATATGAGGTGGTCTTCAAAAAATTACACAGAAATAGATAATACTTACAAGCACTCTATTTCAGGAATTTTATTTAAATTCCTCTTTATCTTCCCTTCTTTTTTTGAAATGGTGGCAACCCATGCTTTTCCACCACATTTTGATGATATCTTAAAATTAGTTTTCACCACAAGAAAGCTGAGAGACATTAACTTGAAACAGGAAGATGCCATAAGACAATGGCACAATCTGTGTGGAAACACCCTGGGTAATCTAACAGGGAGAGACAAACACAGCCCAAGACCAGTTTTCCCCACCCAATCAAGAGACTGACAATAATGGTGACCAGAAAGGAGGATAATTCCCTCTCAAAATGGAACTATTGAAGAGGTGGTTCCAAAGTCTCTCATCTCACTCTACTTCCAATCCTACCCACTTTGAGATGCAATGTCTTTAATACCTCCAGTTACAGTGTTCTTCAGCCACAGTCCAGGATATAAGTAGTCTTCCTTCAGGGACCCTACCACCTCCTCAAACTTCACCCTAATACTTGTATCAGAGTCTTAGATGGTTCTTCATGTTATGAAAGCACGCTGACCATTTTGGAGCTTGGCTGGTGGTGATGATGCTTGTGTGCTGTCCAGTCAGTTCTGAGTCCTGGTGGCCTTATATAAGGTTTCCGAGGCTATGAATCTTTAAGGGAGCAAAAAGCCTCATCTTTCTCCTATGGAGCAGCTGATGTATTCAAACTGCTGATCTTGTGGTTAGCATCCAATGTATAACGCACTAGGTACCAGGGTCCAGTGTTAGGCAATAACAGCTGGACTGGTAAGAGAATTTCTTTTTTATTACTCTCATATATATACCACATGATCACTTTTCCCCTGTGGTATCTACAGAATACCCTCCTGGGTAGTCTGATATTTCCATTAATGAGTAAACCTGGCAGTTACATTTGATTCATCAGTGGCAGTATATTTGATATTGTTGTTGTTAAGTACCATGGAGTTGGGTCCGACTCATAGCGACCCTGTACAGGGTTTCTGAGGCTGTAAATCTTTACGGGAGCAGAAAGCTTCATCTTTCTCCTGCGGAACAGCTGGTAGTTTCGAACTGCCAACCTTGAGGTTAGCAGCCCAATTTGTAACCAATGCACTACCAGATATTAGAGACAGAGAAAGAAGCTTCTCCGCTAATCCTTTTACTTGGTATTTCAAGAACATAAGACTGTAATTTCCTGGCTTTGTTAGTGCTAGCAATGCAAAATCTTGAAGAAGAAACAAATCTAAGTGCAAGAATAGGCTGGATCTCCTGTTGGAGACATTTGGTGCAATCATACAAAATCAGGTTAAATGATTTTACAGTTAGGATTCTGGAAGACTTCTGAGCTCATGATCTCTTTAAAATTATAGGGGGTGTGTGGGGGAAAACACTACAAAAAGTTCATGAGAAATGCTAGTATCTTTCAATTCTGCTTTCCCATCAACTTTTTGAAATCCCCTCACATTTGTTTTTAAGTTCTTCATAGCATATTCGAGTGAAACAAGCAAGAGTTTTGCCTAGTAGCGAGCTGTATGACCTTAGACAAGGATGTAAGTTTCCTATTTTCCAGTTTCCTCATACAGAAAATAAGGACAGTACTTCTGACTGTGGGTGTGAGGATTACATGACATAATGTATGTACAACACTCAGTCTGCCATTTGGTGCACTCAAAAATTATACTTTTCTCTGTTCTTTAACTTTCTTCTTTCCATATCCCTATCATGTTCAATAAAATAAAACTAAACACAGAAGCCTGGTATGCTGCTGTAGGATAAGCAAAGGACTGATAACAAGGCTGGCAGTTCAAATCCACCAGTTGCTCTTAGAAAGCCCTATACAGGGTTGCTATGAGTTGGAACAGACTTGAAGGCACAGAGCAGGTCAGCAACAGAAAACAAAATCCTTTACATTTGGCCAAGACTGTAAGAATTAAACTATTCAAGTTGTAACAGTTTTATCTGCAGTCTCAAAAGGGGCTCTGCACATGAAAATGTTTTATCATTTAAGCTTGATCTGAAACAAAGTAGCCTCAAACAATGTCCTCCTCTCCCCATCTTAATGGTCACCAATGAGCCTCTCAGATTTCTCCTAAGGGCTCCAAAATAGCACTCTTGAAACCATATTAAAGGAGAGAGTATCTTCATTGTTGGAGCAATGTTTCATTGTAAAAGACTGTTGTCCACTTGTGGATAAACTAGCCAGTTAGAAAACAGCTCATCTTTGCTGAGTTTATCTGATGATTGATACTTTGGAGGTGACAAGAACATGTAAAATTGGT